AAAAAAAAAAAAAAAAAAAAAAAAAAAAAAAAAAAAAAAAAAAAAAAAAAAAAAAAAAAAAAAAAAAAAAAAAAAAAAAAAAAAAAAACAAAAAAAAAAACAAAAAAAAAACTATTATTTTTTTTTTTCTTAATCAATTTTGGAACCAGTCACCAGGAAGAGGAATGCCCCAATCAGTCAAGATAACTACAGCAAATAATAATAATAATAATAATAATAATAAACACCTTTTTATTTCTAATCACAACAGAGTGGTCTAGGCACCACAATGAGATATCTTTTAGAATCAGTTTTAGGATGTCTTTCTCTGAGTTTAATATTTGACAATAGATTGGAAACTCCTGCGCGACTTCCGAAGAACGAGCAGGACTCGCATTCTTGGGAGCGGAGCCGTGAAGCGGTGGGGGCAGTAATGTTTAAAAAAAACAAAAAAACAACTCTATTTTCTATCAACACATCCTTATTTGTCAAAAAGAGAGCATCCCCCCCCCACCCCACCCCACCCCCAACACCCCACCCCAGGCTGATTTTATTTATTATTTTTTTTTTTAATTGTGTATCTCTTATATATTTTTGACCTCTTAAAGCAGTGGGTCTCAACCTTTCTAAAGCCGCGACCCCTTAATAGTGTTCCTCGTGTTGTGGCGACCCCCCCCCCCAACTACAAAATTATTTTCATTGATACTTTATAACTGTAGAGTATATGTGTTTTACAGATGGTCTTAGGCGACCCCTGTAAAAGGGTCTTGCGACCCCCAAAAGGGGTCGCGACCCACAGGATGAGAACCGCTGTCTTAAAGGTTTTCTACACCACGAACAAGACGGAGACCTTTCATTTCACAAAATGGGGGACAAACCTACGGGGAATCTTTGGTGTCAATGTCAAAAGTACAAAGTTAAGGACACAATATGAAATAAACCCATAGACCCCCGGTTAAACACATGGGCAGAAACTGTTAAAAAAAGAGATTTTTTTTATTTTTTTTTTAAAACTTTAGTGTGACAGGTGTACTGTACAACTAAATATTTCACCAGAATGTACCTAAGAGTTCAATAGACTGTACCGTATAACTAAGAATTCACCAGAAAGTACTTTATAACTATGAGTTTGCTAGAACGTATTGTATAACTAAGAATTCACCAGAATGTACTGTATAACTAAGAATTCACCAGAATGTACTGTATAACTAAGAATTCACCAGAATGTACTGTATAACTAAGAATTCACCAGAATGTACTGTATAACTAAGAATTCACCAGAACGTACTGTATAACTAAGAATTCACCAGAACGTATTGTATAACTAAGAATTCACCAGAATGTACTGTATAACTAAGAATTCACCAGAATGTACTGTATAACTAAGAATTCACCAGAATGTACTGTATAACTTTAGCAACAAAATGGCGACCAACGTTCAACCAGACTATGACAAGCCGGGAGATGAAGGAGAAGAACGCGTAAAAATTATATGTCTCGGTGACAGCGCTGTAGGAAAATCAAAGCTTGTTGAAAGGTTTCTCATGGATGGATATAAACCACAACAGTTGTCAACATTCGCACTAACATTATTCAACTACAAATCACAGATTGATGGCAAAACAGTCTCAGTTGATTTCTGGGACACTGCTGGTCAAGAGCGTTTCAACAGCAAGCATCCATCATATTACCATCAAGCAAATGCATGTATTCTAGTTTTCGACTGCACAAGAAAAATCACTTACAAAAACTTATCAGAATGGCTGAAAGACTTAAAAACCTATAGGCCAGAGATACCATGTTTGTGTGCTGCAAATAAGATTGATGAGGACTTGAATACAACCAAAAAATCCTTTGCCTTTGCCAAGAAACATAATATGCCATTCTACTATGTGTCAGCTGCTGATGGGACTAATGTTGTCAGGTTATTTAAAGATTCTATCAGAGCAGCATTGGCCTACAAGCATAATTCCACAGACTTTATGGATGAGATTATGAAAGAGCTTGAGAACTTTGAGTTGGATCCAATCCCAAGTAAAGCAAAAGACAAGAACTCTCAAGACACGGAAGAGGATAAGAAAATCGTCACCATAGAAAACAGCTGATAATTGCTGTGAATAGTCGCTGGGGTAATAGTTACTATAGGGGTTTCTGTCAGTCAGCTGCTGGCTAGCACTAATTAAATATGAATTTATTCACCGTCCCTACTTATTTCTGAAGATTCTTTTGATTTTGTGTTATTCATTTTGAGGTCAACAGCATGATTGCATGTTCTTCCTTAAAGATGATTAGGAGAGTACAACTGCTTTATTTCTTACAATTTTCCATGGAGTCAAGCCTTGTACAGATATTTGTCTCATTGTTTTTTTTTTTGTATCTAATATGAACTACATTTACATAGAGGTTGTGTATGAACTAACAGATTAATGTAATGAGATTTTGTTTAAATGGCTGTGGTTAATACACCACAATTTTGGAAAAGAAATGCTTTAAAAAAAACTCAGTACATTGATTTTTTTACCAAAGACACATAAAAGATCAGTTATGTTAAACTTGCACAAAGATAATTTAGTATGGCTATAACAGCCCATTTTCATCTATACTATTGTTTTTATACTCAATTTGAAAAGCATTATCAGCAAGTATGTTTATTTTGCTAGTCATTACAATGCCAGATAAAGCTACAGGATATTATAAACCCAATTGACCTATGCATAATATAGGAGCCAGAATCATCAATTCATTGATCGTGGGCCCTTAAAATAAAGAAGAAGAAGAAGATAACTAAGAATTCACCAGAATGTACTGTATAACTAAGAATTCACCAGAATGTACCGTATAACTAAGAATTCACCAGAATGTACTGTATAACTAAGAATTCACCAGAATGTACTGTATTACTAAGAATTCACCAGAATGTACTGTATAACTAAGAATTCACCAGAATGTACTGTATAACTAAGAATTCACCAGAATGTGCTGTGTAACTAAGAATTCACCATAATGTATTGTATAACTAAGAATTCACCAGAATGTACTGTATTACTAAGAATTCACCAGAATGTACTGTATTACTAAGAATTCACCAGAATGAGACTGGATGAGCAGAATTTGTGTGCCATAACTTTTCTGGAACTGGAAGTGCCGCCCTGAGGCATGGCCAATCTGGGCAATTGCCCAGGGTTTCACGGTATAGGGACCTCAAGCTTCTAGGGGCCTCAGGCTTCTTGGGGCCTCATGCTTCAAGGGGACTCACGCTCTAGGGCCCCACGCTTTTAGGGGCCTTGGGCTTCTAAGGGACTCACGCTTCTAGGGGCCGCAAGCTTCTAGGGGCCTCGGGCTTTTAGGGAACTCACGCTTTTAGGGGCCTTGCGCTTCTAGGGGTCTCACGCTTCTAGGGACCTCAGCCCTCTAGGGATCATATGTTTCTAGGGGCTTTATGCTTCTATGAGCCTCAACCCTCTAGGGGCCTCACGCTTCTATGTCCTCACGCTTCTAGGAGCCACGGGCTTCTAGAGGCCTCAGGCTTCTAGGGGCCTCACGCTTCTAGGTCCTCAGGCTTCTAGGGACCGCAAGCTTCTACGAGCCTCAGGCTTCTAGGGGCCGCAAGCTTCTAGGGGCCTCAGGCATTTAGGGGCCTCACGCTTCTAGGGGCCTCACGCTTCTACAAGCCTCACATTTCTAGGGGGGTTCATGCTGCATATAATGTTAATGGATATTGAAAGGTCTTTATATTTTGTCAATTTTATATGATTTTACAGGTGCATGTTCCAAACGTTTTTGTCAACAAGTTTTTTTCGAATTTTCAAATCAGCTCCATTTTGTGCTGCTAGTTAAAGAAACAATTTATTTTTGGTTTAAATTTGCAATTTAAGAACACCCCAAAAAATATTTTGATTCGACTAAAGGTATTTGTGTTTGCTGGGTGGGGTGGGAGGCCGGTAGTGTTATAGTAACAATTTTTTTTTTTTTTTTTTTTTAATTTAT